GTGCACGCACGCGGCGCACGCATGCGTACTAGCGTCTGCGCGATGCTCCAGTTGCTCCTGGAGGATCGTGCAGGCGCTGTATGCGTTCTGCGCATGCGTGGAAGCGCAGAATTCATAAAAACCGGGTAAGGAGCAGGCGCGGGTGTGCGGGCACGCACAGGCGTGGGGGGGGGGGCTTCGCCATTCCCGGAAGTTACTTATTTCTGGGTTCGGCGACCAACCGGATCGCAGGGACCGGTGCGAACCGGTTGAAACCCACCCCTGTAACAGTCACACAAAACCTCAAAAAGGAAGACTTAAGACCGCAAGAGTAGTTTTTTCCTCAGCGCCTGTGGTCCGGAAATGTTCAGCACCGCCCGGGATTTCACAGCATCCCGGTCTGTGTACAAACTTGGCTGGGACGAATTAATTGCAGGACTTAAAAACCACTACGCGCCTACCCCTTCCAGGATCACCCGCCGCTATGCCTTCCGGCAATGTCTGCAAAAGGAGATGGAGTCTGTCAGCCAATTTCTCCAGTCTCTGCGGACGGCGGCGATCCAGTGCAAGTTTGTCGACCTGGACGACTTGCTAGTGGAACAATTTGTGTGTGGGGTGAGCGACATCAGACTCAAACGGGAATGGGAAGAATTGGATAAAATTGGATAGATAAAATAGAAATACCGAAGAGCCAGTGCTGTCCGAAGACGTTTCCGTTGTCATATGGCCAGCATGACTAAACGCCGAAGGCAAAGATGGTTCCTATTTTTTCTACTTGCATTTTTACCTGCTTTCGAACCGCTAGGTTGGCAGAAGCTGGGAGAAGTAACGGGAGCTCACTCATTACACAACTCTAGGGATTTGAACCGCTGACCTTTCTGATCCACAAGCTCAGCTTCTTAGCCACTGAGCCACTGTGTCCTTACACCTATTGTAGGACAGGAGAAATAACTCCAGACAGACCAATTTTACCTTCTATCCAAGAATGTCCCCAAAATAGCTGGTTGGGGAATTCTGAAAGTTGGAAGTCTTCATAACTTCAAGTCACCAAGGATAAGAAGCACTGCTTTAGAGAATGTCGTGACGTGTGAATCCAGTTACACTCAAGGAACCATAGTTAATGGAAGAAACTAAAATGAAGCAAACGGTTGCCCATAATTGCTGTAATAGCGAGATAGGCAGCATAAAAAATTAATAAACAACTGATTTAGCACACTATCTGAATACCATATTACTGATGGCACTTTATAGATCATATTCACCTTTGACTTCACCTTTGTTTCATACCACATACTAAATGGCAGTTATTTGTAGCTATTTTTAAAAAAAATACAAGAAAGTGGAGAAAAAATACTCGATCACATTTTTCCATTCCATAAAACACTTTTATTTTGCTCGACTCAAACGTTCTTGTGTAATACTGTATACATCTATCTTTCTAGACATCTTATCGAAACATTTTATTTAAATACATAACATTGTTTTTTAAAGTTTTTTTCTGAAAAAGTCCTGTTTTTCTGCGCTGCTCCCTCCCCCCCAACCCCGCTTTTAAATAAACATTTAGGCGTTCATGTTTCAAAGCAAATTGGCCCCTAATAGAAAGAATAGGACTTATTTTCCTTTAAAAAAATAGAAATTACCATTTTACACAACAAAACATTCAATGCAAACAGTAGCTGTTCTTCACCCCTAAGTCTAAAATTATTTTCCTGTCTGTACTTTAATGAGTGTGTGTATGTGTGACGTATCCTTCCCCACGCCAATAGCACTGCTGGCTGAGGACTATGGGTCCTGAAGTCAACATTTTTGCAGGGCAACAGGTTGGGAAGATTTAATGAATGCACATTTATGGTACCGTATGT